CTGAAGTCACACCCAGGATGCTATCAATTCAGTCCAAATGATTTATGGGACAGCTTCCAAAAGAGGAGTAAAGTGATTTCCAGGTGGTCAGGTCCCATGAATGAGAGGAAAGTCATCCATGAACGTTCCCTAACAGAGTGGAGCTGGGCTGCCCACCGCCCACTCCGACCCTCAGACTGACCTGTCTGCCGTCTCTGTGTCCAGTATTGGTACGCCATGTGCCAACTTTTTACTAACAGAAGCTTTTGAGCTTAAGAGCACAGCAGCTGTCCGGTTTAAAGTGGGCCCAACATATTGCAGCCTAGAATCTTTCTGTACTACTATTCGATGCTTAAAACGACTCCCCAAGGCGTGGCGTCTACATTAATTACCTGGCTGTGGTAGTAAATTAAGAAAACTGTGCACAGAGGGTAAAACCAACAAACCATCTATTCATAGCCCAATTCGAACACTGCAATATTTTCATGTTGCCTAAGCAGGAATACACAAGTGTGTTTAGAGGTGTTGGCTCCACTGGACAAAAGCGCAGCACTGAATTTCATGCACACACAATACAACACACGGAACACCATCCTCTGGGCTAGCTGCAGGTTGCCCTCCACTGGCAATTACCCTTTCATCCACAGACTGTGGAACCAGAAACGTTACCCTTGTGGGTTGGCGCACACACACACACACACACACACGCTCGAGCACACCTGAATGCTGATTCTGGAGGCTCTGCCTGTGGCAGCTTTTGGTTTCAGACCCTTCGGTCTGATCCCTTCCTAACAGTGGCAATCCCACTCCTATAATGCACCCCGATGGCTGCGTGGTCAGTGGGTTCCCTGCCCGACCCATGCCGGTCCATACCCATAAAGACGCACACCACAACACGACACACAACCAACTACACACCACACGTGCGCACCACAGGGATACAACACACAGGCATACTGGTTCACTGGGAACCAAGCTTTTTAGTGCCCCAGATGTACTAAGAAATAAGATGTACGCATACAGTGGTAATTCACTCATGTACAAAAGACCACACACGGAAAGACATGGGCCCCTTGGAAATGCCTTTAAAGACAATTAGAGTGAGCCAAATAGTGAAATGATAGGAGGAAGTGGGATTAGGGCGCCAGTGGTTTTTGGCTCCTAAGGATTAAGTTCAAGGGGTGCGGGCGCTTTAAAAGCATGGAGAAAGCCTCCCTTCTCCTCCTCCCCCCTCCTATAAATTATAAGACAAATAATTTATATAACAATCCCTCACAAAATTATATGACAATATCCCATGTGTTATTAAAAACATAACATAGAAGTCATATTAAAATGAAAAAACCAAGCCATGAAAGTAAGTTAAGTTTAAATCAACAACTTATAAATAATACTCCCAAAACATTTAAGCAATTTTATAAATTCAGTGAATTCACCAACTAAAATTTAGGTGGAGCAATTACTTACCAGGTTTTGTTTGGGAACTCATTTTAAAGGAGAAAATTAAAGTCAATTTCAAACATAAAATGTTTAAAACCCTATAAAGAAAAACAATTAATTCTCCACCACTGGGACAGAATTACAGGGTCCCATCACCATTAACTATGATATAGACAATTGCTTAGCAAGGATGAGAGGAGATCGTAGGTGGCAGCCAGGTATCGGAGCTCAGAAAGGGTTACAGTGTGTATGTAGATAGGAAGGGGAAGGGGGAGCGCGCGGAGAGAGGAGCGCGACTATTGTGTATACTCGTACTGGATGCATGTGATGGTGATTACTATAAATGCTAGGGATTAACACTAGCGGCCGCCGCCCACAATATCAACACAAGAAAAATAAAAAACCACACTTCTAACAAAAAAAACAAACAAGACGAACCGGCAAACCACACCGATTTCAACGTTTCTTCCGTAGTTGGCTTTGGTGTTGATTGTGTGCGCACGCCACCCACCTCCAACCGCCTGGACCCCCCGCACTTCAACGAACAGAAGGAAAAAACATCGCAACTTCAAAACAGCGCTGCGCGACTAGTCCGAACATTCACAATTACCACAGGAAATTAAATGTGGTTATCAGTACCAACATCACTCCAAACATATTCTTTTTTTTTATGTATCACCAAAAATCACTGGATCTGGGAATCGGTGCAAAAAGCAGAAAAAAAAAAATATTTCTATTGCTACAGAAATACAACCACGCGTGCAATTCAGGGTTCCGAAACCTCGACTCCAGGTTCTAGTTCACAAACACAATTAAACAAACTCGATTCCAGGAAAACTTTTAATAAATATAAAATAAGCAATTTTAGACCTTAATTTGACATAATAACTCCCTGTAATCTTGTCCTTTAATGTTTAATACACTGTAAAACCAATGCAGTGAGCTATAAATACAGGTGAACTCTAATATAATACATATAATCAGACTTACATTTACAGCAGAGAACTGTAATTAAAGTCATTATCTGTGATATTACAGTAATTATTGCTGTTTTCACATTAAAATACAGTTATGATGAATGTGCTCCTGTTGAGTTAAATTACAAACATGTATTTGTTGTATTGTTAGTGCATCCCTCCAACAGCTGTGTTTCATATATAAAACATCTCTCAGACTCAGATTCAGTCACGCAGTCTAAAGTTCACGTGACCTCCGCAACCAACAACCCACGGAGACTTTGGTCTCGTCTATAATTACAGGATAATGAGTTGTTTACACGAGTCGAGATGTTTACAGTGTGTGCTAACAGGCAGGAGCCAATCAGAAGCTTGTAAATACGGAGGTTATGTTTTAAG